GTAAACAAAAAAACCGCAATTAGCGGTTTCGCGGGAGCGGAAAGCTCGGGAATTGTATCGTCAACGTATGATGAAACGGCATCAATCGCGCGCGCTTTGCTCTCCGTGAGCGCGAGCGATACCGTTGTTATAAATTCTCCCCGCATTCGACGGCTCGAGTTACCAAAGAAGCCACGGCCGGTGGAAAAGTTCGAAATTGCTTCGGAGCGATTTCGGAGGATGGATTCGATATTGCGTCCTACTCGGTTCAAACCGATATCTCCACCCCAATATCGAAATCCGGCTCTCTTTCTAATATCTCCCTTCAGATTATAAGGGTACTGCAGTGACGGGATATTCCGACAAAACATGTAGACGGGACGTCTGCTACGTATTTTCAACGCAAAAATATATCGTCGGATAACCAACATTTTCCGAGAATTAGTATAAATTTTGTAATTTTTTCAATTTTTAAATATGTTCTTATTTGATAGCTGTGGTTTAATTAACTTTTTTTTTATTGCTATATTGTATTTTCATCGATAACTGGCAAAATTTTTCGATAAAATACACAAAACTTTATGTCATTTAAATCTTGGTAAAAGAGGAAAGGATGTATTTCAGTGTGGATGCATTCATCATACGTATAATTTAACAAATTGTTGAATCCTCCAATCGAAAATCTTATATATTATGACACCGATGGTCGCGCAGACACTGGAATGCACCTGAATTTCTTTTCGCCGGCGAAATAGACGACCGGCACGAAATACCACGGCATGTCTCGTCGCGTCTCTTTGTTTTACTCGATCCGAAATTCCTTTCCTTCCTGGATAGCGGGTATGATCTCTGATGTTCCGGTCAGGGCTTTTCTGCTCCATCCCTCCGGTTAGCACGGCCGTCTCTATCTCGCGCGTCCTTCTCCATTCCTCTTCTCCGCGTTCTCCCTCTCCGATGCTGGCATCCCGCGGCACTCAACAGGGGCCGGGTCGTTTATCTAAATGGCTACTGGGTGGCCTGGCCGATCGTGCCCCATTCCAACAAACCAAAACTAACCCAATCACACGCCTCTCGGGCTCCGGCGTGCCGAAGAACCGACCCCGAGGCGAGTTGATATCCTAAGCACGACGATTGTCGTGCCAGCAAAACTGCGTGAGGATTTCTTGGTACTCTCCGGTTAGGCCTGTCTGTCTGCCGCCCGCTCGCCCGCTCGGGTCGTCGTATCGCCATTGTCGTTATCATCGCCGCTTGCCGGGTATAATGGAGGTAATCCGACCTCGTTGAGAGAATATTTAACGGTCGTCCTCCTCCCCCCCGCCCGGCTGCCCGCGCTCGCACGCACGAACGACGCCGTGCCACTTTCCCGCCGCTTCCTAGTATCGTTGTTATGCAACGTTACGACGCCACTTCGGTACTGTTTCAATAGCCGGGATCCAGCGGAGAGCGGTCGTCCTCGGCTCATTGATACGCATTCCCCGAGCGAGACCGAACTCGCGGATCATGTTTTACAGCCGCCGGCAAACGACGTGGTTACTCGCGACTCCACGATCCCGCGAAATTGTCGTTTAAGCAACGAGTAGTCGTAGCCGGCGACACTTCTAAAGCCCGATATACTGTCCAACATATTGTCGCGCTCGTCGTTTTCGCATAGCGTTTTAGATCTGTCGTCGCGAAACAAAGAGAAAATTACATATCGAAGTGAAGAAGGTTTTGTAAAATAAAAAAGCATCGAATTAATTAACGTCGAATATAATTATTTCAGACATCGCTACTAAACCTTTCCTTTCCCTCACTACGACGCACTCGCCGACGGTGAAAATGGAATCCGCGCAATTCGCGAGACTTTCAGTCATTTAGATAGCTCGCTGATATCTCGCGAGAGCGGAAACATTCGAAAGTACTCGACGGTGACGATACCGCGTTCCGAGTTCTCTTCCTCGGCGCTTCTTTTCGCACGAGTGCTCGCTTGTACATCCTGCTATCTACGCCGGAACAGGAAGCGGTTCGCACGGACCACCCGGTACGTGACTGTTCTCTCGCTCTATCTTCCTCTTTTTCCCACTTGCGCGCGATTCGCGGCGCCTCGACGCCGTGCAACGCGGCGCGACTCCCTCGTGAATTTTTTTAATCCGCTTCGCCGGTCGCCGTGTCGCGCGCTGTTTTCTCCCCTCGGCATTGCGCCGCGGCGGCAACGGCAACGGCTTCGCCGTTCGTTTAAAATGCAAACTCGCTCGCGGGTCCGCGGGGGCTTTAAAACAGCCGCTATACCAGGATTTCGTTGTGCCGGTCGGGCCACTGCTGCCACAAACTTGGCCCCGCCAAGTCTCCCGCGCCTCATAGGGATTTATGGCGACGCTGACGCGTTTCTATTCTGGACCGTCTCGTCGCGTCGGGGAATATCTCTCCGACGCATTCTTTCTTTATCGTATCGTTCGTATTTTCCACGTCTTCGCGATTTTTTTTCGGTAAATTATTCCATCAAGCGGAACGACGATTCGGTTGAGATTATTCCATTAACTCGCTCCTAATATAAACTTGATTCATGCACACACAAGATTTTTACCTTATCAAATTTCCAATCTCTTCAAATTTCTTATTTTTCTTCTTTGCGTTACAGATCTTGGAATACTATTATTATAAAATTGAGGAAAGTTACTTTCTGAAATTCTCTGATTAGCTTTTAATTTGTACAGTCGAAAAATCGTACCGTATTGTTTCTTTGCGCGCAACTGCAAAATCAATTAATTGCCGCAGACAGTCTACGGCTAGTAAAGTACACGGCTTTTCTTTCGAAATTCTCTTTTATCAAAAGAGAACTTGTACTTATTTCTCTTGAAGTTAAGTTTTTTTAACGTTTCAAGATCATGCTTTTCCTATCTATTTTTTTTTTAGTAAGTGCTTTCTTTACGAAGATTTTAGCCTGTATTGTGAGATAATAGTCGGCCGACTATTATCTCCCGATTTTGAACGCAATCTTTGCATCGCAAAAAAGATCTCGGATCGAAAGGTCACATTTAGCATTAAATGCTAGAGGTCTTGCATCTTTATCTCGAGGCAAATATTCGCGAAAGTGAAATCAGTCTCTTAATTTTGCTGGCAATTTGACGAAGTTGATAAAGTCAATTTCACGTTTCCTTTGACCGGGAGGATGTTGATTCAATGGGCACTGATGCATTAGATCGTCTAATCATTGACGCAGATATATGCTGTGAGTAAAGATAGGGCGAGATGCTTAATTAGCTTGCCCGTGTAACGCGGAGCGGCATTAGAGGCAGCTCGGATAAAGGGCTAAATTTATCCTCGATAGTCCTTTGAGCCCCTCTGGTTAGGTGTCTATCGCATGCACGTACGCACTTCCGCGTTTCAAACCTTTGACGCACTATCCGATGTCCACCGTATCAAAAAGTGCTATAAATG